GAAGCTCTCAAAACAAAGATCATTTTTATGCTGATGCTCCAGAATTAGATTCATTCCCTTCATCTGTCCCTGGTCGAGCTCCCAGTTGAACTCCCGGTCAAACTCCTGGTCAAGGGGACAGTTTGCATATTAGCCTTTTAGTATATAGGATTTTTTAAGGAAAACTTATTTTTATCCCCTATTTTTTTGTTTTTAAAAGTGGTGTTTTTGACTTTGCTAATAATATGAGAATATATCTGTGATATTTGAATATTCTCCCAAATTTGGGAAACCATAAACTAACTAGGTTTACCTTTGAGTATAATTTTTAGGATTAAAGCCAGAGATGTTCTAATTGTTAAACTACTCTTCAAGCAAGGTACTTTTAAAATAATGCCTTTTAAAATATTTTGAGAACCACTGTTGTAATACACTTCCTGACTCATTCTGCATGTCCTAAGATACTTTAAAGAGAATGATGTCACCAAGATGGTGACAGGTTGTTCCTGACTTTGTTCCCCCTCACAGGAAGAGCTAACAGCTATTCAATTACAAGACACCACTGAGCGAATCCTAAAACATGGGGGGGAGGCTGAAGCACCTTCCTGCACCAAAAACCAAGGCAGACTGATTTTCAAGGCTAAGAGGAAGGACTATATGTTGACCACATTGCCCTTCCCCAGGCCAGAATAGTACTATGCCAAGAAGTGACCCCCTGGACCTACAGTTTCCTTCAGTGGGAAAGAGCTCAGGGTGGACATCCACCTCTCTCCGAGTTGGGGGTCACTTAGAAGCCCCCATTTCAGTTTCACTTCCTGGAGATTGCAGAGAAATCTGCAGAACTTAACCACTGGGAACCTGTAACAGAGGAGTGGGGATGGACTTAACAACCACCAGCATTTGGATCTTGGCATACTGAGTTCCTACCCGCAGCACCTAAGTAGTTATCCAAACCAGTGTCTTTGCTTAATTGCAAAACCAAGCTGGTGGCACAGTCTGACCAGGGAACTTGGCAGGGTGCAGATATGCCTGAATTGGATCCCCAGATGAATAGCCTAACCTGCTCTCATCTAGGCAGGGGAGCTGAGTCATAGTCAGCTCACTGCTGAGTGTAACTCCTGGCTCCATCTGAACAGAAAAGCAGGCAATGCTTGAACAGAGTACAGAA